GACCAGAACTCCCCCCAAACACCAACATCAAGAACGCCAACATCAAAGCTTCCCTCATAAAGGAGACAGTGAAAAAGGAATGTGACCCTGTAGAACTGAAGACCGCAGCTCTCAAAACAATTGACTCCTACCTTAGTAATTCCATCCATATTTACACTGATGGGTCAGCCTTTAAGGGAACAATTAATGCAGGCTTTGGAGTAAGAATAACATCCTGGCAAGACGTATGAAGAACTATTTGATGCCTGTACTAATTATGAGGCTGAGGCCATCGCCATTGAAGCAGCAATCTCCCACCTGACCAACATTTTCATTATATATATCCAGACAAAATCAAGGACACTGTAATCTTTACAGATGGAAAAACAGTACTTCAAGCTTTGGAAAACATTAATTTCAAAAGCCCAGCCTGCCTATCTGTGGCTCAAACAATTAACACCTTCATGCACACCTATGCCATCGACCTGACTTTACAGTGGATACCTGGCCTCCTCAACATCTCAGGAAATGACGGAGCAGACACCCTTGCCAAGAAGGGAGCATCACAAACAGAACCTCAAAACCCAGTATCACAACAACAGACAGTCAAGGACATCATCAAATGCAACACCAGGGAACTGTGGCTAAATGGATGGGCAATGGGCAAAACTGGAAGAGTTGCATTTGCACTTGTGACTGCTCCTAACTCAAAAGTTGCACTAAATTCCCTGAGTAGAAGAGAACAAGTCGTTATCTTTTGCCTGTGAACACAACACATCTCTTTAGATTCATACCTAAGTAGGATCTGCAAGGATACCTCAACTGACTGTCGGCTGCATGACTGCCAGGATGAAACAGTATCACACCATCTCTTTTCCTGCCATGCACTTAGCGACCTGCGTAGCACCTACCTACCTGCCTCCCCAAATATCGGAAATACTTTATTCAGCGACAAAACTCAGCTGATTAAAACCTGTAAATTCTTAGCCATATTGACAGACTGAAGGGCTAGAACCCAGATGGCCATTGGATTGGAAAAGTAAAGTAAAATAAAATGCATGGTTTCATTGAACATGCTGACTAGTACAATATGAATGTGAGATGTTCCTGAAAATTTGTATGCTGTGTTTCAAAGATATTGTCTAAAGGCTGACGAAATTTCATTACTCTACAATGATTCTTTCATACTCAGACCAAAGACTTGTTGAACCCCCCTCATACTAACCCAATTTTTTTTTTAAATTGCAGTTTCTTAATCTGTGGTATCGGAAACATAAGTTCGATAAATATAATTTTGTTGAAATTCAAATTCTAAGTGTTGATAAAAGTAAGAAAAAGATACTTTATTTAGCAGGTAGAATTGTTACAAGAATGAATCAAAGTATTCTTTCTTTCGGAAAAATGTTGCTTTTCGGGCTTTGTACCTTTGGACAGCATGCCGGGGACATATGTATGCTTCTACGATAAATACACATACAGGCATACTTAAGCGAGGTGAGGGCACTCAGTTTGTGCTGACTCTCAGAGTGCATTCATATCACGCAGCAAGCCAGGTGTCAAGCAGGTTAAAGTTGACCATCCATTATTACTAAATTATAAAAACTGTGTCAATGGAATGCGTAAAACTTTTATAATCATTAGCAATCCGAGCTGGCTGGTTGATTCGTTTGATAGGCTAATTTAAGTGAGACAAAAAAACAAAAAACAAATAGAGGTGGACCACACATTTGAAAAGCTCTCCGACAACAGGAGTGTTTCAACATAATAAGCAACACTGCTTATTGGGAATGGCATCACTTAATTGCGAATGAAAAAAAATCCAGTAACGTCCGGAGTCAGACAGGGCTGCAATCTCTCCCCTCTGCTCTTCGTGATCTACATGGACCAGATAACAAAAGAGGCCAATCCAGAGCCAGAGGCACTCAACGAACTCATGTTTGCAGACGACCTGGCAATGATTAACAACAAGACCCAGCTACAGGAGCATATGAACCAACTAAATGCGAGCTGCGAAAAATATGACATGAAGATCAGTATTAGCAAGACCGAAGTCATGACAATTAGCAGGAGACCAGGCAAAGTGGATATCAACATCAATGGATCCCAACTAAAACAAAGCAGAGAATTCAAATACCTGGGCAGCATTTTCACAGAAAATGGAAAATTAGATAGAGAAATAGAGACTAGATGCCAGAGAGCCAACGCAGTCAGCTACCAACTCGGCCCTCTTCTGAAACATCCCAATATCCCCATGAGCACCAAGGCGAAGTTCATCAACGCGATTTTCCTTTCAACGCTCACATATCAGTGCCAGACATGGTCCCTAACAAAAGCCCTAGAGAGGAAACTGGTCACATGCGAGATGAAATGCTTAAGAAGAGCGGTCAACAAAACAAGAAGAGACAAAATTAAAATTGAAGTCATAAGGGACACCGTGGGAGCAACACCAGTCCAACCACACATTGAAAAACAAAAGGTCAAGTGGTTTGGACACCTCACGCGGATGCCCTCAAACCATCCAGCTCTGAGAGCATACGACACTAAATATTCTGGATGGAGAGCCAGAGGAAGACCAAGGCGACGATGCAGTGAATCTGTGGCAGACACCCTTAGAGCTCACGGGATGTCCCTCCTACAGGCCACACGACTTGCTGCAGACAGACACCTGTGTCTCCCCGCGACACCCCAGTGTACAAACAGAAGAAAAAAGTAAAAGTAAAAGAAAAAAATCCGGATTTCATCTGTGTTTTCACCCAAAATTAATTGAGATAATATCTCATTTAATATTTATTCCTACTTTGGGCAAAATAGTTATAATAATTATTGTCAAATTAAAAAAAATTATAATAGCAATTTTAAACCAAACCTGTGAAGATGCAAACGGATGGCCATAAAAGTAGAGACACTACAGGGGGCTCTCGTGGCCTAGAGGTTAAAGTGTTGGCCTCTCATTCAAAAGGTCCTGGGTTCGAATCCGGCTAGCGACCGAAAAATTTTCTTCTCTAAATTTGTCTCATTTCACCTCATTTTCTGCTCTCTAGCAATGTTCTGTCGTCTGCTTTCGTCTCCTCTTTCTGCCCCCACCCCCTCACCTCCTTTGCCCCCACCCCCTCACCTCCTTTGCCCCTTCCTCTGAGCTCCTGATTCTTTCTGTAGTCTTTCTACTGCTACTCCTTCGCTTCTTCTTACTGTTGTCTTTCAGCCACACCCCTGATCTTCTGGTAGGAAAGATCTACACCTAGCCTTCTCGGACAAGGGCGAAAAATCTCGGAGGGCCCGTGTGCAAGTTGCGCACGTTAAAAATCCCTTTGTGGTCTAAAATCAATAAGAGTAGGCTTCGGCCGCCACCCGGGCAAAATTCAAAATTTCCTACCAACTGAAGTAAAACACTTTACAAAAAAAAACCCAACAAAGAGACACTACCATCTATTTGGCTTCAATATTGGCTATATTGATCTAGCTTTGCATGGCCAGGAGTTGAAGCCATACTCATGCCATGACCTGATTTGTAGGTTTGTAAAAAGTAGGAAAAAGGTATGTTCTCACAATAGCCATGAACTTATGTATGGAATTTTAGTCCCCTTTACTTTTTGGAGGAAGGCTCGACCAGTCTGGTTGCAAGCTTAAAATTAGTGCTTGTAACTGCTTTTAAATGTGAGTGGCCTGAAAGGAGGTAGGGAGCTATTTTTAATTGGTAATGAAATATTACTGAGTATTGTGCACCAACTCATTGGTGATTTTTTGTGGATGTCTATATACATTATAAGGTGACTGTCTGTGGCTGATTTTGAGTACCAGAATTGCAGTGTTCCCAAACTATAAGAAGGATGCAATGATTCTTCTGATTATGTAGATACTTTGCCTCTGTTAACCATCAATCATTCCCTGCATCTATGCAGTACATGAAATCACACTTCCGAACCAGGCTTTCTGAGGAATTCTGTCTCCTACACAACCCGGGATAGCCCTGACAGACAGGGTCAAAGCAGCCCACCTCCTAAGTGGTCTAAATTGTTTTGATGGGGGTGTAAAGCATTTACAATTCTCCGTGATTGCAGGCAGTACAGCGGTGGAAGTTATGATGATGTAACAATAACAGTATTAGCATCTCAAAAAAAATAAAAAAGATCAACCCAAAAAATTAATTAAGTTACATGAAAAGTCACCAGAACTTTGATTATTTGGGAAGCAGACATTGTCTCTGCCTGTCAGGGTCAAAACGGATTGAAAGCGATGCAACATCGGCAGGAGAAAGGCAGCTGACATACTTGATGAAAATTTTCCCCCACAAGGAATTGAACTCGCATCTTCTACATGTGACAATGAAGCGCTTATCTGCTACACCACAGATACCAGTGTAAAAACATTCACAATTCACCACAGTTGCAGTCATTACAAAGGTGGAAGTCAGCGTTGTAACAAAAGTAGTAACTTGAGTCTCACCAACTACTACTTGAACCATAACTAGAGTAGAGTGCTTAAACTGAACTCTGTAAATCCGAAAAGAGCGGTAAACCGAAAGAAAATAAAAATTTTAAATCCCTGTTCTTTTCTTCTATTTGAGCAACTTCTGAAAACCGTAATCCCGTTTAAACTGGACAAACCTGATGGTCCTGCAGGTTGCAGCTTTAACAGACTCGCTGAATTTACTAACAAAAGGAAAGATTTGTAACCCTGACACTTGTTATTGAAATTAGAGGCAAAGGTAAAGCTGCAATAGCAGTTTATTATAGAAATATAACACCATAGAACGAGATAACTGAAACAAAAAATATTATACAGTTTTTGTAACTTTACATGGTCAGACTAAATTGACTCAACAATTTGTACTTTTATTGCTGAAATGCCGAACAAAGTGAAAAGAAGGACGAGAATAATCAGCATTCTAGAAGATAAAAATTGTGTATATTTTGTGAACAGGGACGATAACTGAAAGAGCAGGCAAAGATAACAGAACTTTTGTCACTGACATATTTCTAATCTGCATTCTTGACCTGCTGGAACTGGGGTTTGTGTTCTCAAGAGGGGATTTATCTGAAGTAGATGGTCTGAAGTGTTATGCAATTCCAGGACAATGTTCAGAGATTTGTGGACATATCGAGGCGGGGGGGGTCAAGGCTATAGTTTTCTTTACTTTTACACTTACTGCTAAAATAGCCACGACCTCAATTCAGTTGGTTGTCCTTGCCGGTAGAGAAAGGTTGAACACTGAGTTGTGTAGAGGGTAAGTTTTGTGTTGACAGTAATGTCTTAGTTGTTAATGGCCTTTGGTGTTTCTTTCACTTATTCTTTTTTGTCTTATTTCAGCTCCCAGACAGAGTTATTTTCTTATGATTACTGGTATGAAATGAGAGCCAGGATAATGCAATTTAAAATCAACAAGACTTTGAAAACATTGGCAACAATCAGATAAACACTTTCTGATCTATGACTTCTTGTTGAACTGTCCAATGTTGAGTTTGTTGGGTTTTTTTTGTTGAGAGTACACATTTTTTCAAATGTGCTGAAGCACCCCATCTCTTCCTCATTCTCTCTCTTTTTTTCATTCTCTCTCTCTTTCTCCCTCTCCAACTATCTCTTTCCCCCTCTCCCCCACCCCCTCTCCCCCAC